CTATAACATGGCAAAAGATCAAGGATTTCCCAGGATTGGTTATATTTATAGGTTTATAGTATTTTAGAGCTAATAGGGATCTGGAGACCTTCTAAATTCAAAATCCCTCATTTACCAAGTAAGGACACTGACCTGGTGATAGTAGGTGACTTGTCCAAGTTAGTGGCAGATCAGGACTACATACCAGACATTCGGGCTGTTCAGTTAAGCACACTTGGGAAAAACAAGCAATTCCCACCTGTTCTTGGAAGTGGTCCAGATTAACAGCCTGTTATCCCAAGATCTCACTTCTTCTCTGAGTGAGAAGAATCTAGAAACTCTTCCAGGAAAAAGAAAAATGAATGGGTCTCTGACTGTGGGATGCAGTTGCACTAAAGATGAGCCCCTCCAGGTGTCAGGAGAATCCCAAAGTCCCCGCAGAGCTTGTTATTCTTAAAGTACTCCTTAGGGTCTCAGGAGGCCATTGTGGAAGCAGGGGCACGGGGCAAGGCAACAAGGGGAGAGTGAAGTGAAGCCAGGGTCAAAGCTAGCATCTCCCCTTCCCCGGGGGTTGTCCTGGCTGCAGAGCCAGGGAAGCACCATCAGAGACCACAGTGCCTTTCCTTCCCCCACAGCACCAGCTCATTACCCCTTCCATCGTTAGACAAAATGGCTTTGAAGCCCATACAGTGTCCCATAATTTGATGTGTTCACTTCCTTGCTATAGGAAGGGCGTGGCCAGAATAAAGGGGCAGAGAATCCCAGTCCCCACAAAGATGCATCCCCCACAGGAAAGGAACAAGGTGGCCCTGGCTTGTTTCTTGTAAGTCTTCATGAGAGCTCCTCCGACCTGATTTGCTCAGGTTAGGTCAGTAACACAGAGTTTCCAGGTGTCCAAGGTGAGCGACAGATCTCCAAGTGCAATTGTCTGTGCCAGCAAAGTGGATTCAGCCGTCTGCTTCCTTGATGTCAATTACCCGGCCATCCTTCGCAAAGATGAACTTATTTCCAGCGCAGACAATCACACCTGCATTCTCGAACTACTTCCATGGTCCCAGGGTCCCCACGAGACCAGCATCTCCTTGCTCAATTCCTATCCCGTGACTGCCTCGCTCAGCTGCCACCCAGTTCCTCATCTCACTTCCTCTGACCCACTCTACAATTTTCTTTCTAAAACACCATTTCATCTCTTTCTGAAAGCCCATCAGGGCCTGCAGGATACATTTCCAACTCCTTAGTGAGGCCACAAGGCTCCTTATTAGCTGTTCATCCTCCAGCCCAACACTGGAGTGCCCCAGGATGTTGCAGACCATCCACCCTCTCAAGCCTCTGGCCTCACTCACCATCTCCACTGTGGAGTTCCTAGCAGACTGCACGAGACCCGGCTAGGTGAGAGCGGCCGCAGCGGTCTTCTCTGTCTAATGCTCCTCTCTGGGAGAGTGCTCAGCCAAAGGGCTCTTGCGGGTGTGCACCTGCTTCCCTTCCACTGGATCAGGAGCCTGGAGGGGAGATCCCAGGACTCCCAGGATTGGAGCTCAGTGATTACTGAAGGAATAAAATGTTTGACTCAGATTGGGCATTCTAAAATTTCAGGAACTGGACTAGTCATGTGCTGGATGAGAAGGGCTGTGAACACAGTACAAAGAGGCCTGGAGGGAAAGAGCATGGTCTCTGAGGCCGCAAGTCCCCTCAGGGCCCCTCGACAGCAGGCATAAGGCCTGGGCAGGAAAGGAAAGACCACCAGGGAGAGAGCGAGAGTGGTTGAAGAGGACAGTTTGTAGGAGAGAAAAGTCTTCACGGACCACCCAGAGACCTAACAGGTGATCTTGGGTGGGGGCTCACAGCCTCTCATATAGATATTTTATTTGGGGAATATCGTGGCAGAAAAAAGGCCCCCTGAGCCTCCAAGTGCACCTTCTTGTACTTGCTAACAAACAAATCAAACGTCTCCTGAATGTGTGGGGACGTGAAGAACTTTTGGGAAGCTAACTCTAGTTTTTATGTGATTATAAACAAAGGCAAAAAAAAATCCCCATATCATGAAGCTAGCATTTTAGTGGGGAGATAGAATAAACAAGGCAAATAAGTAAACCGTCAGTAATGCAAGGAGGAGAATGAAGTAAGGCCAGGGACAGGAAGTGCGTTCAAGTTTTAGGCTGGGAGGACTCTGGAGGCTTCTGTGAGGAGGCCCCAGAGTACGGCTGAGAAGGGGGAAAGAGCAAGCACTGGGAGTATTCAGCAGCAGAAGGGCCCAGAGAGGGATCAGCAGGTGCCCAGCTCCAAGTGGGTTCCAGAAAAGGCCTGTGGGGCCGGAGACAATGGAGCGGGAAGCAAGATGAATAAGCGCAGCCAGGCGGTAGGACTTACAGATCGCTATCAGGACTTTGGCTGCTACTCAGGTAGCTGAGGAGCACTGGATGATTTTTAGTAGAGAAGTGACATGATGTCGAATTTTAAGAGGAGCTCCCGGGCTGCTGTGTTGAGAGCAGAGTGAGGGGGGCACCAGCAGAGCAGGGAGCTGGGTGAGGGGGAGACAGCAACAACCCCCACAGGAGGTAGTGGGGTTGGGGTCATGTCAGTGGGGTGGTAGGAGCGACTTGGCGCCCAGACACGTTTAGGACATGTTAGCACGGAATTTGCTGACAGATGGAAGGTGAGGGAAGGAAAAAACAGGAGTCCATGTTACTCCAACATATTCGGCGTAAGGGTAACCGAAAGGTTGAAAAGCCCATTCACTGAGGTGGGAAAAGCGGCAGGAAGACCAGGTTTGGGGTGAAGGTAACATCAGGAACCCAGTTACAGCCCTGTTATGTTTCTGGTGCCTTCTAGGCACCAGGTGGAGGTGTGACTTAGATTGGGGTCCAGCCTTTCTGGGAGAGGCCTGGGCTACATACATAAATGAAAACGTCTTCCGTGTTCAGTGTTCAGATAGGACTTAACCACGAGGCTGAGTGAGGCGCCAGGGGAGCAGGTCGTGAGGGAAGGGAAGGTCTCTGGGCGCCAGTCCTGTCCTCCAACGGTAGGAAGCTGGGGAGCTCCAGATTCAACCCATGCGACCCCAGGGATAGGGCCAGAAAGGTGGGAGGCGGTCCCAGGAGCATGGTGTCTTGAAGGCTAAGAGAAGGATGTGTTTGTAGGAGGGAAGCACGAAGTCTGCCCAGTGTGGTTGGCTCTCAAAGCCAGACGAGGACTACAAATTCACCTTTGTCTGGTGCAGCAGCTGGCCCGGGGTGGCAGGTGGCCTGGGTGAGAGTGCAGTTTTGCTGAGTAGCTGCGGCAGAAATCTTAGGACAGTCTTACTGGGGTTGGTTCAAGAGCCACTGGGAGGAGAGAAAGCAGACAGTCTGGGGGAAGGTCTGTGTGCTGTTGGTTGTGAAGAGGAGAGAGACTGGGTGGGGGAGGGACAACAGGGGCTTAAGGATGGTTTTCTCCCAGGAAAACCCAGGGCATGTGTGTGTATGTTGGGGAGCAACCTGCAGATGACTTAGGATGACTTAGGGAACACAGAGGAGGACGGTGAAGGCATTTCCTCTACTAGCAAGAGGGACTGGGGTCCAGTGCCCGAGTGCAAGGGCAGCCTTCTATGGGGCAGGAGCCCCTGGAAAGTTCTCTGACAGGCTGGGCAGAAGCTGGCTCTGAAGGGCTCCGCAGTCAGGCACCATGCTCTTGGTGGCCTGCTGTCACCCACGCCCAGCTTGCAGGTTTTGGGGTAGCCAAGGAGTGCAGATTCACTTTAGCCACATTTGCGCCCGGAGTCCCATGGACGTCTTTGCGAGCGCAGGGGAAGTTTCTTTGGAGTGCAGGGCGCCTCAGAACTCAATCCTTTGGGTTCCCGGGTGAGAAACCAAGGCAGTGCGCAGTGAGGAGGGTGGGGGGCACCGCGTTCTCCCGGGTTCGGCATGGGCCGAGCCACCAGGCAGCTCCCCGCCACAGCGCGTGGGGGCCGTGAGCCCACGGATTCCTGGGAGTCCGGCTCCGCTGGGGAACAGCCCTGCGGCCAACCCCCTCCCCTGCACCCTCCCACTGCACCCCCACCCAGGCGCCCCGCACCCCTGGGTGCTCGGAGCAGAGGGCGAGCGAGCGGGTTTGAGTTGCCTGTGGTGCGCAGAGGGAAGCGACACCCTCGGCCCCAGCCACTGCCCTGCGCCACGTGCCCCCCCCCTCCCGCCACCCGTGTAGCTACGGGTCTGGGTGGCAGACAGGCCCTGGCCCATTCCCCAGCCCGGCTCTCCCCCTCTCCCCGTGTGGGGGCTGAGCACAGCTCCCTTCTGTTTTCGTGCTTGCATTACACAGGGAAAAAGACCCCTGGGCTTGGAGGGGCAGGAAAGGGCAGGCCCCTGGCCTTTTAAGGGTGGTCATTGGGGTCCTCCCCCCTCCCCCCCCAAGGCGAGGGTGATTGTCCCCGCATGGGATTGCGCCCCCCGCAGGCGTGACATCCTCGCGGACTGGTGGTCCCCGCGCGCGGGCATCCATCCATTCACTGCGATTCTCTGAGCCCAGCGCGGCCCTGAGACTCCGACCGAATCTATGAATGGGGAGAGGCAAGAGAAGCAACGTCTGCTTCCACTCCCCGCTTCCCCGCCCCCTCCTCCGCCTCCCTCCAGACTGAGCGAGCCAGATACTAAGTGACAAGGGGCCGGGGCAGGCGGGGGGAGCACTGCGGGGGCGTGCAAGAGGGGGTGCAAGTCTGGCTGGAGACAGCACTATTTATATACTCCGGAGCTCCAGGACAAAGCGAGCAGATCAGAGTCCCCCCCACCCAACCCCAGAGCCTCCCCGGCCCCTCCCCAGCGGCTCTGATTTCATTACCCGCCCCCCCTCTCCGGGGGCGGGCTGGCAGGTGCGGGGGTGGGAGCCGTCTCCGAGCCAAAGGTCCGGCTGCTGACGTCGGAGCGCCCGCTCCTGTCAATGAACGGCAGCGGCAGCCTGGGGACTTGTGTGGCAACGAGGCTACAGACGTCATCGCCTCCTGTTGGACGCGGGGGGTGTCCGAGCTGCAGCTCCGGCTTAAAGGAAAACTCTCCAAGTTCCAGGCAGCCAGGGAGAGTCGTTCCTGAGAGCACATGCACCCCCGAATGCCCAGTGTGCGCGGCGCAGAGCCTGGCACACGCGCGCACACACGCACACACGCGCGAGCTCACACTCGCACTCATATTCTCCCTAGATGTGCGGGTCCAAACTTGCGGCCGCAGAGAGGATGAGCTGAAATGGACCGGTCTTCATTGGTGCCTATAGAGTGCTCCACGCGGCTTCCCTGGAGATCCCGGGGGTGGGGGGCGGTAGGGAAAGAAGAATACCACACCGGTTTAGAGTTGTCTCCCCCTTTTCTGAGAAGATCTGCGCGAAACCCAGGGTGCCCGGAGCCTTTGGAATATGCCTGCTGAGCGGAGCAGAAGGAGCGTTCTTGGAGAGGTCCCGAACTTGGGCCACCGGCCTCGCTTGGCAACTTGCTTTGCGCAGTTCTCAATGGAGCCCTGGACCCACCGTGTTCCTGGCCGGTTGGCTTCTTTTTTCCCTCCGTTTCCCTCTCTCTTTTTTAAACGTACCAACTTGAAATGAAGCGGAGAGCAGATCCGCGCTTCAGCACACTTTGGCGGGTAAGTTGATAGTTGCTTTTACCTATTATTTAACCCTTGAGAGTCCAGAAAAACTTAACTC